GGAGAGAGAACCAGAAACCCTACCTTTATTCTGGGAGTGACGCACCCCATGTAGCATAAATGGGTTGAGTGGGAGCTAATAGAGCTGTATACCACCACATTTCTGGTCAGCTTTTCTTCCTATTTCGTAGTCTCACAAACTTGATCCTTTGTACATAATCTGAGATCTGTTGATTTGCTCTTCCACGAAAATGTCGCACAATCCGCTTTCAGAGTAGTGCATCTCGTGAACGTAGACGCAATCGTATCCGGGCCCCATTTGGCGATGAGGACATCCCGATCGTGTTTGCTGGATCCGGTGGACGCGATGTAGGTTATTTTAANTTTTAAATTCCGATTATACATAACGTTCATTTTAGCTGTTCCATCGACGTCTGGCATCCGGTCGCGGGTGAGCCTTTTTCCACAACCGTAATAACATTCACTTTCATTCCAGAACCGCTTTGGTTTACGATGAACGCATGTTGTTGCACAAAAATGTGTGGTTTTCATCCCACGCTGAATGTCCAGAACGTGTCACATCAATCATTGATCGGTTGAACGATTATGGACTCTTCGATCGATGTGTTTCAATTAGTGTGAGTTTATCTATACTGCACGTTGTTACTTTTCACCAATTCACTTTGAGTACTCCAATTCTCCCCTTCCACTTTACCAGTCTATATAACTAAACCGTGCAACTACATATACTGTTTTTGACTCGGCTACCCATTTGCTTGACCGATAATACTCTAAGAGCAGTGCCAAGGTAACGGTATAAACTGCGGATAAACTAGACGTACGTAGTGAGTAAATTCACGAACACCACTCCGTACTATAATAAATCATATTACCTGAGGTTTGCAACCGTTATTTAATCTGTTCCCGGGGAGCCTACAACAACTTACGTGAGTATACTCCTTACTCAGAAGCTTCATACCTTCACTCAAGATCCTAAATTACCCTTTTCCTTTTCCCAACTGATAGCTGCCTCTCGCTGTTTCCATTGTATAATGCAGTAGAAATTTGCAAGAAAAATGACGGTTGGCTAACCCTGTGAAACACCGTCTTCCGTTATGAATTCAGTTCAGTTCAGTT